GCCCACCTCCCATAAGACGCCGGGCCAGGCGATGGCACGTTAGGCCCACCTCCCATAACACGCCGGGCCAGGCGATGGCACGTTAGGCCCACCTCCCATAAGACGCCGGGCCAGGCGGTGGCACGTTAGGCCCACCTCCCATAAGACGCCGGGCCAGGCGGTGGCACGTTAGGCCCACCTCCCATAAGACGCCGGGCCAGGTGATGACATGGTCGACCCACCTCCCATAAGATGAATCTAGCCAGTGATTTGCCAAATACAATAATTCATAAGTTCATCACACTTTAGAGCTAGTGACTGAATTGTCGTTTATTTAACTGCTGTTTAGGCAGTTAAATGGGGTAATTTTGTAATAATGCATGCATTTTTAGAATTCACTGGGTCATTCCGACGAAATACAGAGGGCTAATGACAACAACCAGAAACAGCTGATCACACGGGGATTTCCCACGGGGTTAACGAGGGGGAATGGCACACGGAAGGAGCGGACAATCGGGGCAGGACACATTCGGTTTTTTAACTTTACACATTGTTTGGATACATTTATTCTCTTACTTTACTAAATTACTGTTTTGATAAATGTGCTTAGATGTGTTTAGTACAGTATATGCTCTTGTTGTATCCGGTTCATTTTGTGTGTCATAAAACCAATTAATTGGTTTTTCATGATTTCTTATGGGGAAAATTCAATCAGAACTCGAACTTTTTAGGATTCGATCCAGAGTTCTGAACGGATTAAATTCGAGTTCCCAAATACCACTGTAATTCATATCAGAAGGTGTGTCTGTGCTGTGTCTCTGTGTTTCTGCATCTTTGTGTCTGAAAGCTCCCAGTAAGTTTTGTCAGACTGACCGGCATCACGACCCCCCCCAGGCTAGCGCAGCTGCAGTCGGTATCGAGCGGCACGGGCAGTGGCAGCAGCAGCCTGCGGCGAGTGCACACCACGCCCAACACCATGACCAACCTGGCCATGCCCAACGCACCAGGCCCCACCGAGTGCCTCATCTGCTCCGAGCTGGCACTGCTGGTGCTCTTCTGTCCCTGCCAGCACAGCGTGGCCTGTGAAGGTGGGTGCGGGGGCACGGGGCCTTGCCATGTCAGGGTGTGGGGGTGGAGGGTACTCAGGCTCTCTGTCATTCATGTCGGGTACTTTGTGTACTGCACTTGCCAGTTCTGTGCCTGTTTTCGTTGCACTACCTTGATTTCGTAAATGAACCAGCTGGGTGTCAGCAGCAGCGCACAGGCCACACGGTTGGTGTAGGCTGAGTGTGACCCCCCCCCCCGGTCCTGTTCCCTTCAGAGTGCGCCCATCGCATGAAGAAGTGCATCAAATGCCAGGTGACCATCACCAAGAAGATCCGGCAAGGTAAGGGTTCCCCG